GATGGAATGAACAATTGCACCACCGCGACCGGTATCCTGAAGAGCGTCGACGGCATGGAGAAGGCTGTGATAAAAGACAAGAACGACGTGAGCAACCTGGAGGAGAAGTATCCGGAAAACAATTCGAGCGAAATTAGCAATGGGAAGTTCATTTCCAGTTACGCCACAAATGACATCGCTAAACAAAGTACAAGAGTCAAAGATGTTGCATCTCCGTAACGGTGACGCAACCGACGATACGTCTCAAGCTGCTCAAAGCATACTATTTTCTCGCGGCGTCTGACGCAATTGTCACAGCTCACTCCTTGTTCTATTTTACTGAAACGACACCTATTTCGTACAATGCTTCTGTAGTGAAACTATTTTATCGTACGCAACTCATGTCGCATGACACACGAGATATTCGCAAAAAAGCCTATAATAATTTAACAGCGAAGGAACTAACGCACGATTAACATTTTAGCGATGGACGTCGCGATACCGGTTGACTAGGACAAGAAGGAAAACGCCAACGTGGCATTGCTCGAGGACTCCATCGCGGTGGCGCCGGAGAGATATCCGACTTCGGAATGGATGCAGTTCTACATCATCCTGAGTCGTGCTTTGCTCTTCAGTCGCAGAGATTGGGTGGGTATTTGAAAAAAAATCGAGAAGCTCGTCTCTTGACTGTTGTATAGTCTGTCTAATAAGAACTTGACTGAGCAAACTTGCATGTTTGAAAACTGTTATACCGAAAACTTTGAAATGAACAAATAGAAAGGGTCTTCCCCTACGATATGTTATACGAAGGTTTTGTCTGGTCATCGTCTGATTTTCGCTAAAGAATGATATATTTAACGATGAGTATCAGAATGCAAGGTAGACCCAGGCGAATCGGATTAATATCAGTTTTGAGACAGTTAATATTTTGTTTCAAATGAGTGCGGAGGAAGCGCACGGAAGTAACTGGCATGATAAAACATCTCGTTTGAAACAAAAAGCCAACGACAACTGTCTTAAAGCTTATATTGTCAAGTAATAATTGACAACGGTAATTGGACAGTTTATTCGTACAAAAGTGTTGTATCGATTGTGTAGTACATGTGTAATTTTTCTCATTTTTTTATATTAAATAGTTTAAAAGTTATGTCGGTCATACTTTTACTAGACAGACTGTAAAGGTTCAGCAAACTCGCGTGTTCACAGCGCGTCGACGGAGGTATTCCTTTATTCCACACTTTTTCTGATTTCTTTTAAACTTCTGACCTTTCAAAGTTCTGTAAATTCCGCGTGACACTTATCCGTAATATGTGATTTCGCAGGCTCTCATGTGGCTGCGGTTCTTCGCTCACATTCTGGTGGCGTTGTTAATCAGCGTGTTGTACTACGACATCGGAAACGACGGCGCCAAAGTACTTAGCAATCTGGGATTCCTGTTCTTCAACATGCTGTTTCTCATGTATACTTCCATGACAATCACCATTTTATCCTGTGAGTCACCCGGTTTTAAGGCATACACCGACCCTGCGACCTCGCATTTCACTCGGATACGCGACGTCTGAATTCATTTTGCTTTCAGCCCCGTTGGAACTGCCTGTACTTTTAAAGGAGAACTTCAACAGATGGTACTCTTTGAAGTTGTATTACCTTGCAATAACTCTCTCGGACATACCATTTCAGGTAAGATCGTTAACTTAAACGGACAGAACAGCTGACGAAATCGGATTGGAGTTCATCCGCGGCACACTGCCAAGGCAAGCGAGATCGACTCACACGTCTTCTTCTTATTTTCAGAC